GCGGCAGCAGAGCTCTCTTTGGAGAGCGAACTGTCGTCACTGAAGGACATGACAACGGGTCTCTATTCAAACAGCCCTCCCAACTAATGTCCGCGGTCAGATCAGCCACCAATGGGTATGACCTTCGGTCCTAAAAGCAAGGAAGTCAAGATCTTAGGGCAAGAACCGAAGATCGTCGCTCGTGTCTTGCTGCCCCCACTGCTGTCAATTGGGCTGAGAAACCGTAATCAGATACATCGATATCAGCGCTACACTCACGGGGACCTACTTGAGACATCTTCAGCTTCGCAATTCCAGGCTTGCTTGTGGATTGCTTCGAAGATATCTCGTGGGGTAGGTAGCGCGGTCATGCGTTTTACCGATGGGAAATTGCCCCCGATATAAGTCTGGGACAAGCATTGGCTTAATCTTCCGGGGTCATTCTTGATAGCAACATAATTTTGCGTTGAATAGGCCTTGTCCCTTCAAGCCGGACATTTGAATTTTCTGCTTGATGTGACCACCTAGTTGCAAATCAAAAACAACATGGCGAAAGAGAGGGTCTTTTACGTCTTCCGCACCGCGCCATTTTACTACTACACCTGTTCTGTCAACAACAATATGAGTTCCGGGCATTTGTACCAGCGTTTGTACCCTTCCAGTCAGCATTGAAACCCTAGAAGTATCTGCATCGACCATTCTCTCGCCTTTTAGACTTATGACCGCTACAGAGATGTCAAACCACCGATGGAAACCAACACATACTGTGTCAGCACAAATGGTTATTGAAGATACATTCCTTTGATTCCAGCCAAAACTAACGCCGGTGATTCAATGCTCGCAATCTACTTCGGAAGGCAGCCAAAAACAGCTATGTTCCATATCAGGGATGAAGATCTTAAGGAGACAGAGCCCAACAGTTCGGTTTGGATTATATACCCAGTCTTTTTACTCAAGATTATCGGCATCGTCAATTGCGGTGATAGCAAGCAGCTTCGGTCGACGGTGCTTTATGCATTTGACCAACCGAAGTTGAATGGGTTCTCCGCATATGGAAGAACACGTACATATTTTGGCACATTTTAACAATAACGGGTCTTCCATTCGTATCCTCATTACCACATATGCCGTCGAATGTCTAGAACTGAACCTACACCGTGCACGGTCTCTGGGGAACCTGGTTGGACCGACGACAAACACCTCTGGTAAGATGCACCTCACGTTATCGTGGGATACGTTCGCTCTCAACCTCCAAAAACGCTCTCACGGAATCCTATCAGAATTTCTGGAGGGCTGCGGACAGAAACTTGTAGTTTCTACGCCTCGATGGACGCACTTGGCGGCGGGTAGAACTGGTGATCTGTGATGCAGGTTTGTGTTTTGGGTCTGCCCGGATTTTCTTTTGATTCTTATGCCATGGATATTGGTACTTGGTTATCATTCTATGGCCACGACGTTGATTACGCACAGAGAGCACTGGCCGATTGAATTAGGCACGTTCCAAACGGTATGCCTGTTCAATTGCCTGTCGACGGTTGGACCCCAGCGAAATTTTATTTCATCAAGGCCTCGCGACACCATTGATAACGCCGCATTTAACTACGCAAATCGACCCACTGACCAGTCAAGAATGAACCGATTGCAGATCCAGAGGATACATTTCCTGTCCCGTGGCTATCGATACTGGGAACGACAAAGTGGAAACTGTTAATGATTTAATCGAACCAGTCCAGAAAGACTGGGAAAAGATCCGAGAGTCAGTAATCTCCAGTATGACCAAGATAACATCGCGTCTTGAAGGCAGTCTGACTATCAAACTGGAATATAGCATGTTCAATGCCCAAAACTCAACCGTCATAGACGACATACTATGATCTATATATCCGACCTACAGGGAAGAGCTATTAGATTGTTACTAACAATTTAATCTCATTCAATGCCACCAGAAACCGACAGTGTCACGGTGGTCAGTCGGAGGACTACTCGAAATATGCCACATCTATCCATTCTCATTGCATGAGAAGCAGACGAGGCGTTCGAATAGGTCGTCAGTGGTTTTGGAGACAGCTCTCATTTTTCTGAACGAATGCGCGGTTAAAAAATGGAAAGATGCTATCCTAGGACCAGACGGAACAGAAACGCTTCTAAACAGACTCACATCATCCACTCAAGTCCGTTCGTTTTCGGACTATGGAAACTTGCACACCTATCCTCTCGTTGAAAAGAAAAGCCAAACGACCCTTGAACTGCACTTTTTTCTAGTCTGAATAAATATGGCCTCTTCCAGCGTTCCATATACATATATGGCCATGATTCACCATGCGATGTTGCTTGCACAAGATTATGATTTTGGGAATTACTACCAAAATTGCAGAAACAATAACACTTACGAAAACGAGATGGTTATCACCATTTCACTCGTCGCGTGTGTATGCAACCTCTCAGCGTCTCATAATACTCAATGACATCAGGTCCTTGTCTATCGTGAGCCCCGCAGGCTCGTCACTTCATCGCATGGAGATGCGCAAGCTTAACCTAACTCACGAAAGATATTAAAAGAGCATATACAGACTGCGGCTGGTCCTACTGCTACGGGGAAGCATTCCCTCTATCCAAAGCACGATTCCTCGCCAGATTCGATCAACAATGGCGCAGGACCACAAGCTTTGCCTTCCACAGAGCGACAAGAAAGAGTACTCTGAAAAGTCAAATATTCGAGCTACACTCGTTTGTCTTGTTTTATGTACGTCTTCCTCGATCCCTATGCTATAGATAGCTTGTCTGATAAGGATTCGTCTAGGGTGGGCAAATGTGTCTGCTATCTCAAGCCAACCTCAGCCTGCTGGACCTTCTCTTTCTCATTTCCCCTAGTGTCATTAAGATGATAGTACTAGGAAACTCTTTCAAAGAAAGTCTCTTAACGCGCAAAAGACAAATCAGAGATCATGCCCTTTCAAAAGGAGGATTAGAAAAAGATCTGGAGATGCACGAGGCAAAAGAACTCAAATATAACCATTACCCGGCGAATATTCGGTTTTGTTACAGCAACAGGTTGAGCCAATTGAACCCAAGGTCATCTCACAAACATCGCTTATAGTAATCTTCGGGTTGCTGATCTATACAAGCACATCTATATCTCTATTTGTGGAACTGGGAATGGTCCATCCACGAGCAGTCCCGGACGGTATGGAAGAGTCCCAACCGGATAACAAACACTCCCGTTTTGTTCGTCTCGATCCTGGTACCTCTGGTCCTGAAAGGACCTGGAGACTCGAGTTCAGGGTTTGTCGTCGCGTTGCTCTGATCCGAAACGCGCTGAATCTCCTATTCCTGTGGGAATGACTGCCGAATTCTGGAAGACCGCCTAGCATCAACTTGAATCCGAGCCACGCTTTACGCACATGCCCGACTTATTGCTGCCATTTTGGCCGCTTGCAAAGCGAACAGACGCTTAGCAATCCATAAGTTCACAATTGCAAAATGATCTTACAAACTTATGCTACGCTAGATACAAGCAACTCGATTTCTCTAACACACGTGGTTGGTCTGGTTATCTCAATGCCGAACAACAAACAGAGATATGGTGAGGTTGCCATCGGACAAAGAATGTATCCCCGGCTCAGATCCTGAATATCATCCGGAACGGTGGTCAGGCAATCTTAGGCGAGATTGCAAGCTTCATGGTGATGCAAGAAACCCACGAGCATAACTACGACGAAGTAGAACCCCAATTTGATGGGCCCCGGGGTATAGGCCCCTGGGCATAGCAACCAAAGGCCATCGCATTCATGGTCAGAAGGGCGCTGGATAACAAATGCCTCCTCGCAAGTGGGCGGCTTTTATCGATGCCACCGTGCATGCGGTCCGGTCCTCCTGAATTAAGTGAACGTCACGCTTGTTGACAAAGTCAAAGAGGACGACGTCAAGGCTCTACTGCGACCGATTCAGAGCAACAGGCTATGACAGGAACCAGATACTGCAAACTCTAGAAAGAGATTAAAGATCGCCACAGGGAGCATGCCACAGTCTCTGCTCTATCTGGGTTTTCATACTCTAACCACCGGCTGTTACATTCATTAGTATATCAGACTAATACGTTACCTGACCAGTGGCTTAGCATGGCTCCAGGTGTTCTAAGCCCTAAACTAGGGTAGCAGACTAATAGGAAAAGAAGATCTGAAGGCGAACTTTTCTCGAACCATACACTAAAAGAGCGCGTGAAGGAAGCGCTAGACTGTATGAAAATAATCGTCGAATTGAAAACGCAAAGAATGAAGATAACTCAGCTGTTAATAGATGCCTAAAGAAGCTAAAGTGGATAGCTAAATATTGAACGGACTTGTCGGAGAAGCAGGAGCTTCTAGATGCTCTAGTACGCTGGTTGGAGATTGTCGACGGATAAATTAACTCTTGTCTATTCTAATCTATCTATTGATTACCCTACTCAGCCATAAAGAGAGACCCTAGGCCCATTCCCTCCCTGTAGGAAATAAGTCTTGTGAGAAAAGAAGCAAATGAGAGTGTATGAAATAGGTAGTTGAAATAATCACTGGAAATAACTTTTATTGGTTTATTGATATGGAAGGAATACCCTGAAACGGATCTAAAATATAAGAGAAAGGAAAGAAGAAAGAAAGAAAAGTCAAGAAACACCATAACGGAACCTTGCTCGCCTAACAAGAATCAAACCAAAAAAAAATGCATAGAAACAGAGCATGAAAGAAAGAAGGGAAAAGTATCAATGGGCCCAAGGGGAAGAGAGGAAGACAAAATATAGAAGAGAGTCTGTACATAACCGTTCTCTTCTTTCTATTTCTTTTTAGAAGTGACAATGACAATCACAAAACGCATGTTGAATGATGCATCTCTTCAGTGGTAATCAGCCAGCGAGCATAAAGAGAATATGGATAAGATAAGATGTAATTGTCAACAAAGAAAACAAAAAGCAGAGTCTGCATTTTTCTGTACGTATGCATGCATGCAAGCAAAATTATCTTACATCATATACCGATTGACCTGGCCTATTCATAGTCCCGGACATAACGGCCCGGTAGTTCAACGTCCCACATTGGTCTTTCCACGACAGCGACTTCCAGTATCCCGGCGTCATCGTCTGCAAGTTCATGGTCTGATTCATCGTCGTCCTCGGCGAGGGAGGAGGAGGATGCAAGAGAGGAAGAGAGAGGCACGATGCCCATGATGTCACGGTACTTGTACGTGTGCCACCAGCGACGACCGGATTGGGATTTGGCCGGGTCCGACGCCACGAGGGCCCCGGCGTCAGCGATCTTCTTGGGAGCGGGGGTATCAGCGAAGGAGTTGACGATGTGTTTCAGGCCGATGGAGAGACGCTTCTTGCGAGGGGTGTGGGGGTCGGTTTCCTCGTTGTGGTCCTGGAGGGCGGAGCGGCGGAGACGAGCGAGCTGAGCGTCCTGAGCGGAGGTGTAGGAGTCGTCGTGGTCGTTGTCATCCTCGTCGTCGTTGGGGTTCCGAGGACGTTCTTTGTCCAGAGAGACCCATTCGCTGTAGGAGTCGTCGGGACCGGTGATCTTTCGCATCTTCGGGGCGGCGTAGACATCGGACTGGGCCAGGGGGATGCGGTCACCAGCGCCGGTGTTGGGCTTCTTGCGGCCGCTCTCCGTGGTGGTGTCTTCGAAGGGATCGCGCTTGCGTTTGTTCTGCTGCGCAGCGGAGGACTTGGACGGAGTGGCTTGGGGTTTGGTAGGCGTGCCGGCTTCTTGAGTGTCGGCGGAGGCGCCGAGCTCTTCCGAGGACGGGAAGTCCTGGTTGAGATCGAACATCCAAAGCCAGGAGGTGCCGTATAGCCATAGACGTTCCCGCTCTTCGTTCAGGTCCCATAGACAACCCATGGCGCGGTCCTTGACGCCTTGGAACTCGGCGGGCAGGAAAGCCTTCGGGTTTCTTCGGGACCAGTCTGATACTTTGCCCTCGATGGCGTCAAACTCCATTAATTGGTGCTCGCTGGTGAGCGCCATGAGGAGGCTCTTTTCCGGCTTGCCGGTTCCGTTGGTGAGTTGCTTCGTTGCAGCTGGGTTGGAGGGACGGAAGGATAGCAGGGCAATGCCGGACGACAGCCGAGGAATGGGTGACTCGGCGGCAGTGAGCTGCCAGCGCTCGCCCTCAATGATGGGCCGCTCGTCTTCATCATCCGAGTCAGCGTCGTCATCCGAGTCAGCCGCAGCGCGATTGCGTTTCAAGGCGGACCTCTCCGTCGATTCCTCTGCGCTTTCCAATGACCAGGAGTCAATGCAACCCGACAGATCGCCAACCGCGAGGACTCTGCTGTTGTCAGAGAAGACAACGCATCGAATCGCCCGCTCGTAGTTGCCTAGGGTGCCGTGAGAAGCCTTCTCATGACGGTTGTGACGGATAGCTCGGTTGAGATTGACAAGCTGAGGCAGAACCTGAGGCTTCTCTTGTGGGGAGGAAGCCGGTTTAATCCGGGCCAGGTAGATGTCGCTGTTCGGGCGAATAACAGAGATCCATCGGCTGTCGGGGGAGACGGTAACGACACGGGCTCCCTCGTCCGCGAGGTCGGATGGGAGGTCCAACTTCTGTATACGTAGAATTCCTTTTTCGTCGCCCTTGCGCCGGCGAACGGAGAATGCCTTCACGGTGGATGCTGTCGCGACAACCAAGATCTTTCCGTCAGAGGAGAGCATAGCGGAGGTTATGTTTTCTTCGCCCTACAAGTAAGAAGGATTTGCACGTCAGAAGTAGGCTCGTAATGTGTCGGTAGTCCAGGTCTTCTTACCTGAATCAGAACCTTCCCGACCAGCCGATGCCTTTGACTATCCGGTGTTTCAGGCGCAGACGTAGGACCGCGAGACAGGCGCCAGATGCTGACCTCCCGATCCCAGAAGCTCATGACCAGTCGCGAGGAGGGCGAAGACGCAAGCTGAGGTACTTGCGGCAGGGTCGACAGCTTCCTGTGGTGTTCCTTTCCGAATTCACGCAGCGGTAGAATGACCGGAGACGCATCAGGACCTAAGTTGCAATCAGCTAACCAGAGCCATGTTTTCTCGGTGGGAGTTATCGTTGCCCGAGCTTACCTCCCGAAACCACAAAACTGATGTCCTTCGTCTCGTAGACAGCAAAAGTCTTCACGTCGTGGGTATGGTACCGTCGGTGCATCACCTCGGCCCATCTCGCCTTCTTGTCGCCCTTCTTCTCTGCTTCCTTCTTCCTGTAGACCACGGTTCTCTGATCCGCGCCTCCACTGATCACAGTATCGCCCTTGGCGCTAACAGCCACATCCAACGTATCGGCCAGATGACCCTGCAACCGCTGAATGAGAGAGTAGTTCTTCCCATCCCAGAACCGAATCTCACCCGCCGAGTCACCAGACACAATTGTCCCATCCGGCAGACACTTCACGGACCAAACCAACAATTCCTTCGTGCCCCCGGTGGGGCCCTTACCCAGCGACATGGTGCGCAGCTGCTGACCATTCCGAATATCATACAGTCGGATCGAGCTATCCGCGTAACCCGCCACAATGGTATTCCGGTTCTGGAAGGTAACGCTTAGCACACGCGCCCTTTTCGTCGTCGGCCTCATCAACCGCAAGAACTTCAGATCCTCATCCGCCGTCGACATAATCACAATCGACCCATCCGCACACCCAGCCGCCAGATGCTGGCCCGTGAACTCGCCCTCAGCAGGGGGCAACCACTTGCCGTCCTTCCCGCGCTGCGTGGGCTGCCAGCGCGGCTGGGCCGCCAGACACCAGATCTCGCCGTAGTTGCCGCTCGAGTGCCGCAGGGGCTTGCCCTTCTCGACGTCCCACTCGGTCACGGCAGTCGAGTAACCGATGCTGAACAGGCGCAATTTGCCGGGGATCTTGGACCCGTCGGCCGCCGCGTCCTGGGGATCGAGCGTCCAGACGAGGCCCTCGATGCTGCGGTCCTTGCCGCCGCGGAGAACCGTCTCTTGGAACCAGGCGCCGCGCAGGGGGTTCCAGATCTCGATGTCGCCGTTCGCGCGACCGATCGCGAGTCGAAGGGTAGGGACACCTCGTCCGGCGAGTTCCGCGGAGGGAGGATGCGAGAAGGCGAGCGCATTGATCGCTTGCGGGTTGTAGGGGACGAAACGGCAGCGGTGGATATCCATGATGGCGGTCGACGTAATGGCAAGATATATGAGGAATGTTTTATGTGGAAAAGAAAAGCGCGAATGTTCTATTGACGTCGACAGAACTTTTTCTTCTCACTTCTCGTCGCTGCTGATTGACCGATCGGAGGAGGGAAAACGAATTAAGACCCCAATGAAATGGTAGGGAATTCAAAAGATTTGACAATAACCTACCCGGCTCGACGTGTAGAGCCGACCGCTAGACAATCATTCCGATGAAGCGTTAATGTCTAGGAAATTGAGGGGAGGGTCGTCTGGGGTGGTGGATTTGATGTCGCTCGACCTTTTTTTTTTTTTTTGGATAACAATTTTTAGCGCGCCGCGGAGGTTCCACCACCATCGGTGGCACGTGACTGGTCTGGTCTATACAATGGACTCTGTCGCTTCAGACAGGACATTCATGATCTAATTGTTTGTTTTATCTGAGTTAATGATGTGTCTATGAGGAAAGGATTCAGCTGCTTTCTATCCAGGTAAAACCAAGACTAGGGCATCTCAGACCCCGGTTATCAATGACCGAGCAATATATAGTACCACTCTGCTAGAAACGAATGTAGATTGCGTCAAAGAAATACAGTGCTTATATTCAAAAGCCAGTTGGATGTCAAATCTTTCATTGAACATGATTTCATATATCGTTTTGATTTGCTAGCGCCACATACAGTTCCTACTCGCAAACTGCAGATACAGACATATCCTCATCCAGCGCAGTCAACGCCCCCATTAACTAACAGTCCTGCCTAGAAAGCCATTGTCAATCCTTTGCATCTCAATGATCCTAATTGCCAATTGAAACAGACGCAGTCACAATAAGCAATCCAAAGAACCCACTCCTCCGACCTCTCTACGAAGTACAAAGACACAATTGAAACAATCGTGGCAAACAAAAGAGCCCTCGACAACCTAATCGAGTAATTCATCAACCATCCCATTGACAACAAACAAGTGCTGACAGGGACCAGGGCGTAATGGCGAAGACTTGCCGTATACGAATTGCGTTACACGCATAGGCAGTCAAGCATCGAGCCATGGATACTCTGGAGGGTGGAATGCATTCCACCAATGCTTTCAACGCGGGCAATTGTACTGTACATATTCCGCATAAGCAGGACGCATGGAAGGCAGGTGCTATGCGCATATGACAAGCGAACAGTTGGACAGTAAGAGACCACGAAAGAAAGGCAATTTGATTTTTCATGAATTCCCCTGTAAAGACAAGGGCAGAAAAATCAAGTTATCGGGTATGTTGGAACATGAATACATGCAGACGCAAGCCTAGTTGCATTGACTAGATATGCCGTATCAGCGATAATCGACTGTTCATAGGTCGGGTCCAGAACAGAGGACTGCCACGTCAGACCCAACCACCCCCCAGGCCCAGTTGCAGGTGCGCATCCAAGACTAGGGATTCGCAGTTTCGCGACCCGGATGATTTGATAGGATGCCGATGATGGACTTGACGCTGCAGGGAAGAGAAAGGACTCCACCTACCGAGGGGAAGAGAGGGGAGAGGGGAGAGGGGGGCGATTTCTCGCACGGAATGGGCAGAGCTTATGCATATCGACGGTGGAGGCTGAAGACGGAGACAAGAGACGTAAGTGATACCGGAAATGGATAGGCAGAAACCTTTCCCAAAGCCCAGTTGGCAGGGCCGAGTGGAGAGTTTGGCCACAGAAAAAATCGCCGGTGGATTTATCTTCCATGTTCAGCTGAGATGCGACGCGGCTGGGCGGGAGTGCGGGGTGTCTGTCCTGTCGATTTGATAGGCATCATCCATCCTGAGCCGCAGTCTGACGGAATCGTCGCGAGAGATGGTTCTACCAAGCAGCTAAGTTTAGATGGTCCGGCTCGTCAAAACGTTCCTTGAATTGGATTCGTCGGCTTGCTTAACCCTTACGCGACGATAGGCTCTGGCGTGCTCTATTTCAAATGAAAGTGGCTTGCGCATGGTCGCAAGTTGCAGCCTTTGCACCTTACACCGGTCCAATGGCAAGGGCGGACACAATGAACAAAGATAGAACTCCACGACGAGTTGCAATTTACATGACTCTTAGAAGGTGTAGCACGCAGCTGCCCCAGACTCGATCGTGTCGTGTCGACGGGACCCGAGGATCGAAGTCTCGCTGGAAGAAAAGGGTCGAGCGTGGGATAAAGTTCAGGCAAGACGGTTATCTCGAAAGGTTAACCGACGGGTGAATGAGCGATCGATCATGTCGATGATTGAGAACCGATGGCTAAGATCCCAAGTGCACAATCCGATATCGCGGCGTCGGCACATCTCCTAAGTCCATTATTAGTCATGCTAGCAGCGTCCAAACCACCAGACGACAATCCTGTTGGCATGAATCAGACACTCAAGTCCAGAACCAACCGAATCAACCTGTGGACTGTGGTTCAGGAGGTGGCTGACGGAATCCTGGCCCAGGCGTCGCAGTTACAACCGATTAAGTAAATCAAACCTCCCCCCTAATGTGCTGGAACCACAGCGGATGCAAATTGCGACTATCTTCATATAACCTATTTTAGGCACATGGCAAGGATCCCCCCAGTAAGTTGGCAATAATCGAAACCAGGGAGACTGGAAAGACACGGAACCCCGAGGCCAGTATTATTAGTTATTAGTTGATTAGCCCGATGCACTATCGTCGGACCAAGACAGATTAATTCCGGATTTCGACCCTGTTCCCCCCGGTTGAGTTAGTGGTAAACTGGTAAACTGGTGCAAGGCAGGCCAGGGCAAGGCAGGACAAGGCAGGGGGAAATTTGACCCAGATTACGGAAACTCCGGTCCTCCCCCCCCCCCAAATCCATCGTCTAACTCTAGACCAGGATCATCCGGAGAAAATAAAAAGGAAACACGCCAGATGGGAGGATAAGCGCGGAATTGGTCCAGCGAACGCGATCGTCGAATCAGGGCGCGTAGATGCCCTTTTCTCGGTTTCCACGCCAAGCTAGCATCGCGGATAAGAACTGCGAGGGCGAGCAATTTGGAAAATAAGTGGCCTTGTTATGTCATCCTGGGGCCCTTTCGGTTTCTCTCCCCCCTTAGAACTTCGGGCCATGTTGGGTCTTGCGTAGTACTTGGAACGGAAGTTGGACGGGGGAAAGGGAAGACGTGGCTTGGAAGTAGCGCGTTCTAGGGAAGCTGTCGGATCCTGTCAATATGTCCGAATGGGGGTAAATTGAGAGACAGAGAGAAGGATTTCCCCAATTTCCTGCCTCAGGGGAGAATCCGAGAAAGAGGTTAGTCAGCTCAGGCAGGGAAAAGGGAGACGACCCAAAAAAGGAGGTTGCTCAATTTCATCCCACACTACCATTGACTAGGTGTGACCGTGTGAGGCTAGAATGCTAGGGAGATAGATAGAATACGGAGTCCTCCGTAGAGACACGCCCAAAATATCTATCATAGAAACATCTTGGAAGCTGAAGCTCATTTCGGTTCGATGATCGCAAGTCAATTTACCACAACGGGCAGGCCGGGCGTCCGAAACGTGGGACGCGAGGTCAATCAATGACGCCATGGGTCTGGGTAAGAAAAAAAAGGAAAGGGCGAAAATAGGACACAGAAACGCGCAGTTTATTTCACGTTGCATCTCCACGCGCCTTGGAAATAAAAAAAAAAGAAGCTCGGTTCCCTGCAAATTCTGGGACCGTGTGACAATGGGTAAGCGGGCTTTGGCCATTGGCTTGCTATATATACATTAGACAGTCGAGAGATCCTAAATATGCTGTACACTAGAAAGGAAGGACCCTTTCCTTCAGCCAAAAAGTAAAACATTGCCTGAAAGATCGTTTTCTTTTCCTTCTTTCTTCTGTTTCTTTTTTAGCTTTGGGGTTGAATGTGGAGTCGTTTATTTACACTCAATGGGACCCACTCCTATCTCGAGCTAGCCAGGGTGAGGTTAGTGTGGTACGGGTACATGATCTCGGTATAGGTAGGGAGGTGTACACTGTGTACGGTTTAACCATACAGATACGAAGTACCCTAAGGTACTTGACATTTCCTATAGCTTGACCATACCACGATACCAGGAACACTAGATAACCTGACACCAGCTCTAGCCGTCAGAACGAGAACCTACGAAACTACCTCCGTAAAAACAGGAGCGCCAAAGAAATAGTGAACCATGGTTGAGGCTCTCCGGCCTCCGCTGCCCCAGCCGTAAAAAAAAAAAGACCGCCATACCGGAAGAGGTCATATTGTCTCGGCGACGCTGACCTTTCTTTTCGCGTTTCGGCGCACTCGTTGGCTCTACAGTCTGGACGCTTTGTTTCTTATTTAGCTGTCGGTTGGATATGGATGGATACTAACCGTGTGACTACGCTGGACCTGGTGTAGTAGTACGGAGTCTGGCAATTGGCAACGTGGATAACATCCCACTCGGGTGGAAGAAATTTTCTGTCTCTCTGTGTAGTTTGTATCCATTTCTATGCATGCGGGTTGATAAATGCCTCAATTGTTGAGGGAGCGTCGGTGAAGGAATCTCTGTTCAGATGAAGAGTTTCAAGATCTCTACGCCGGAGTAAGTTACCTAGTATCTTTGCTTGCCTTGGCAGGATCCGTCTTAAGCTCGGAACCATTCTTGAAGACTTGCCGCTCCGAAAATATTTGAGTTCTAGGGCTGTGTAACCTGTGAGAGAGGACGTCATCTACAGATCCGATCCAATTGTTTGAGTTCTAAATTATCGTGGAATATCCGATCATCTTCTTCAAAGATATCAACGATTATGTACCACCACCGCCTCTCTCGTCCACCACCGCGGAAAACGCACTATAAATTGGCTTTAGGAACCATTGCACGTAGACCGAAGTGGATCCTAAATGAAGCGTACACCTAACCTACACCGTACGGAGTACGGAGCACCTACTACTACCTAGGTAGGTAGGGAGAGAAAAAAATCACTCGGTCGGGATTCACGGGTACAGAATGAAACTGTCTGAAAGAGGCGACAAACGAAATAGAACAGGACAGAACAGA